TCAATGGGAACCAACAACTGTCTGGTTCTTCAAAATATCTTTTATGTTCAACGTAAGAAAGAAACTCATACAGATTTGGAACGACATGAGGCTGAGTAAATGATAACAGAATTTTTGGGTGAACTACTAAGGTCTAATTAGCGGCTATGGGCTATCGCTGCATTTGATAATAGGTTTGATGGCACTACGGTGGGGCAACACCCCCTTATTTATAGGTTTATGAAGACTGTTCCCGTCCAGTCGCTAGAAGAGCTGTTCCAGGATGGGAACTCTCCATGGTGCTGGAGGCCTTGTCTCAACAGCCTTTTGAAGGTGATTGTATATTTGGATGATCTGCTTATCATGGGCAGAGATGAGCAGGGACATCTGGCAAATATTTCCAAGGTTTTGCAGCACCTCCAAGAAAGTGGGGTAAGAGTGAATAAGTCAAAGTGTGAGTAGGGGCAAACAGGAATTGAGTACCTGGGTCATGTGATAGACGGAAAGGGAGTGTATCCCACGAAGGACAAAGTTAGAACCATTCAAGAGGCACCGCCACCTTCAAATGTGAAAGAGCTTGGAGCTTTCCTTGGCTTAGTTAACTATTATGGCCACTATTATACCTCACCAAATCACTGTGTTGGCCCCATTCTACAGATTGGAAATGTGCATGCTTTAGCACGTATGCCTTTGTCTGAGATCAAAGATGCTGAAACTGAAGCAGTATTATCTCAAATTCACACTCTTTTGTCTAACCACTTCAAAGAAGCCCCTCTCAATGCAAGACAGATGGCCAGAGTGACAAGAATGGATTGTGAGCTCTATAGAAGTTTACGCTATATATCATGGAGAGGTGGCTGATTGAGGTGCTAGATGATTTGAAGGTGTATTTTATGAAGAGAGATGAATCAGAGCAAGAATGTGTGCTATGGGGCACAAGAGTGATTGTTCCATTCAAGTTGGTCATCTTGGTATTGTTAAAATTAAAGCCTTAGCTCACAAATATGTGAGGTGGCCAAAGATTGACTTGGATGTGAGTGTCTGAAGAGGTTGCGTACAGATTTTTCAGGGCCATTTCTTAATAATTTGTTTATGATATTTTGATGGATGCCCATTCAAAATAGCTAGAAGTCTTTTGTATGTCGCAAATTACTACTCAAGCAACAATTACCAGGTTGAAGACATCCAGCAACAAAAAATTGATTGGCCGAGAGGTATGTCCAGATCGGCATGAAATCTGGTTAATGAAGTATGTCTTTTGATGATAAAATTTCTTCTTTTTTTTTTTGCTGCACTATCGTATAACACCTAACAGCACCACAGGCCAGTCACCAGCTGAAGAGGCATATTCATACCAGACTGGACTTCCTTAAACCTAATAATCAAGAGACTGTTCGCAGGAAGCAGTATCTGCAAAAATACCTGCATGATCACTGAGCATCAGGGAGATCATTCAAAGTGGATGAACCAGTGTTCCTGCGTAGGACTGGAAGAGGAGATCCAAAGTGGCTGTCAGTAGTAGTAATGCAACAGACAGGCCTGGGATCATATGAGGTAAAGGACCAAGCATAATACACTGTGTTCAGACAGCATAGTGAGCAATTAAAATCACAATACTTCTCTTTAGATGCTCCAGGTGATCAAGGAAGTCATAGACCTGCCTTTTCAGAACCTGCCTCTTCAGATATTCCACAGCAGCAGTTTGAAAAAGGGACCATTCTGATTGCTGAGACTAGTGATGAAGATCTGATGCCAGCTGATTTACAAATGTATACATTATGTGAGCCTGTGGTGCCACTTGAGACCCGTGCCGCACGTCCAGTGGACTTGAGTCGCCCAAAACGGACCATTAAATTACCACAGCATTTTAAAAACTGAAACACTTATAGATTATTTGTTTTAATATTGATGTAATGTGGTGTTTAATCTAAATGGGGGAGGTAATGTGATGTATGGGGAAAATGTGGTGTTATTGATGAACCTCTACATTGTATTTGGTACCTCTGGGCTTCTGTATATAAGTGGCCTTATTTAAAGGGATAGTTCACCCAAAAATTAAAATTCTGTCATTAATTACTCACCCTCATGTCGTTCCAAACCTGTAAGACATTGGTTCATCTTCGGAACCCAAATTAAGATATTTTTGATGGAATCTGATCAGCATTGTTTACGTTCCGTAGACAGCGAGTGCATGCTGAACGTTAACAACGCTCATTACATTGATTACGTTCTGGGATACTCTCCAAAATGGCGGAAGACAGTAACTCGGGGAGAAGAATTGCTGAATAAATTGTTATCATTGTTTTCTTTGCGCACAAAAAGTATTCTCATAGCTTCGTAAAATTACGGTTGAACCCCTGATGTCACATGGACTATTTTACCAATGTCCTTGCTACGTTTCTGTGCATTGATCGTGGTAATATCCTTGCTGTCTATGGAGGGTCAGAGAGCTCTCAGATTCCATCAAAAACATCTTAATTTGTGTTCCGAAGATGAACGAAGGTCTTACGGGTTTGGAACGACTTGAGGGTGAGTAATTAATGACAGAATTTTCATTTTTGGGGGAACTATCCCTCTAAGCAATTTTAGCAGGTGAGATGGAGTCAGGTGTGCTGTCCATTTGACAATGTTCAAGTAAAGCGTGCAAATGGCACTTGTCTGTATCTGCCTCATTAATATGTAACAGAGTACAAAATTATCTGATTGTGTCACGAATCCGGTCCTTATTGTTCCTCCCGCTTGCCATCAGAGGGCTCTATCGCCATACTGATTACTGCTTCCCAGACTGCATTTCCTGTTACCCATTGCCCGGACTCATCATGCCTGATTGTTTCCACCTGAGTCTCATTATGAGTCTCACCGTGTTTTCCTCGCTCCCTCGAGGACCACACCAGAGACTTTTTAGCAGTGGTGGACGAAGTACACATATCAAGTACTTGAGTAAAAGTACAGATACGTATAATAAAATATTA